CATGTCTGGCTTATTAGCCGTCGTCGGCTAGTCATACCCAACCCCGAAGTTTGGGACACCTGGGGCTCGATTCCGCGACCTTTTGGCTATAAGTCTAACGCCTCAACTCCAGGTGTTTCACACTTCGAGGTTGGGTATGAATAGCTGACAACAGCTAATAAGCCAGAAATGGCCGTTCCAGTTTCCCCTGTCTTTATCGGTAATAACATACTGCCTATATCATGCGCCGCTGTGCGGCTGTAGGTTGGGCTCGAGAGAGAACCCGCAGGGCACAACGGAACGAGTGAGTTCCTTAAGAACTATCGGTGAGCGCCCCTCTAGCAGAGTTCAGATACATTTTCACGTATGGAAGAGTTCGCCGGGTGGTTGGTTTTGGTGCTTGGATTGCCGTAGCATTGAAAATACGTTGCCCATTGAAATGTTGGTGTCTCATGCATTGACGTACAAAGTCATGAGGATACCAGCACCATGCGGGAAAGTAATTTCTGTCTGAGAACTTGTCTCACCAGAGCAATAAGTTTTAGCTCGATTTAGAAGGCTGTGGACTCTACTCCGTTTGTGAGAGACGGGGTGGTTACCCTCAAAATGTAAGATGACCTCTAAATAGGCCTCCTTGCGATAAAATGATGTGTACAGTGATCCATCGGCTTTTCGACGTACAAGGACATCCAGGAATGGGAGTCGTCCGTTAACCTCTGTTTCAAAAGTAAACTTAATTCCTGGAAATATAGATTTAACATTGGCATGTAGCAGATTCCACTGATTTTTCTTGACGATGACAAAATTTTCATCTACGTATCGCAGCCAGAGTTTTGGAGTAACCGTGGGAAGAGCTCTGATTTTTAATTTCTGCAGAAAACTCGATACGAGTGAACCCATTGGAGCGTCTTTTGATTGTCGATAACATTGTTTGGAGAAGGAAAAATTTATTTCCAGACAGAGATCTAGGAGTTGGAGTAAAGCGTCTGCGGGCGTCGTAGCTCAGGTGGCTAGAGCGTTGGCTGTACTAAAGCCTTTTCCTTGCTGTCGTGGCTTCAAGTCCCACCTAGGTGCCGAGTTCTCCCAGTTGGGTCAAGATGAATCAAGAACTATTTTCAGTTCGATGATGAGTATTACCAACAGGTCAGGGGCACCCCAATGGGTTCGTCGATATCGGGGCTACTCGCCGAACAAGTCTTATAACGACTAGAAGAAGCTGTTGTTCAAACCGTTAGACAAAAAATGTGGCTTCGCTACGTAGGGGATACTTTCATTTTTATAAAAAACTGCGAAGTTGAACGGCTGCACCAGAATCCTTATAGTGTCTTCTCCGCCGCACAAATCACTCGCGACAGCGGACATCCTCCCGTTTCTCGACGTCAATGTGCAAATACTGAGTGATGGCAATCTCGCAACCGGCGTCTAGAGAAAATACTCCAGTGCCGAAATCATCCTCAACTACGGGAGCAACCATCCTGCGGCCCACAAGAGAAGCTGCGTTCGAACTCTTCTTCACCGGGCCTTTCGGTACTGCAGAAGCAAGTACAGTAGATGTGCTAACTCATGAAATGTCGACCAAAATTTCGAAATGCGTTCTCGTTTCGAAAAGATAATGAAAAGTAATGTTGTAAAACTAATCATGATGCAGCATAAATCTATAATGATCCAGTTACCTCAGGGTGTCGGCTTTCGAAAGAACTTATTTTCGGCTGCATGCAAGATCTATACTCTGCGAAAAATGACTACATAAGTAGCATGCAATTTTCTCATTGATTTTCGATGCCCTTGAAAATTCAATTATATTTCATGGAAAACATGCATAAAAATTCATTCTTTAACTTATTCGGTAGAAAATCACGTCTTCTTCCAATTTCATACTCAAAAGAAGAGTATAATTCGGTTTTAAAAAACGTTTCTAATTCCCGAATAATTTTGAACCCGACCTGCTGTTACACTTGCATTCGGGGATTTAAAACTACAAGCTGTATATTTTCCGTGTAGGGAAAACCATGCGTTTCTCTACGGTGCTAATAGGAGACCATATGAGGTTCATAAAATTTAGCAGTGGATTTGAGCAATATTGTTAACTTTACAAGCCATATTCGTAAATTCAGATACATGACGTTTCACGAAAGGCCATTTAACGGTATTAAAAAATCTCACAATTAGAAACTTTTTTAAAACCGAATTATACTCTTCTTTTGAGTATGAAATTGGAAGAAGACGTGATTTTCTACCGAATAAGTAAAAGAATGAATTTTTATGCATGTTTTCCATGAAATATAATTGAATTTTCAAGGGCATCGAAAATCAATGAGAAAATTGCATGCTACTTAAGTAGTCATTTTTCGCAGAGTATAGATCCTGTATGCAGCCGAAAATAAGTTCTTTCGAAAGCAGACACCCTGAGGTAACTGGATCATTATAGATTTATGCTGCATCATGATTAGTTTTACAACATTACTTTTCATTATCTTTTCGAAACGAGAACGCATTTCGAAATTTTGGTCGACATTTCATGAGTTAGCACATCTACTGTTTCTATTTAAAGGAAAACTAGCCTACTTATATAAATTATTCCGATCTGACGGATATTCGATTAACTTCATGAAAAACTGTCTCGGACGTCTGAGACAAGCACAAGATCAGAGTTCTATTGGAGAGGTGGTGCAGAGGAAATGCTATTCCTTACCCTACATGTAAGGAATTTCTGAAGCAATCACTCTACAATTAAACCGGTTTGACATTTGCATCGCCTACAAGCCGGCGTCCTCCTTACGCGCAGCATTATCCTAGGTAAAGGTCCCCATACCTAGAAAACAGCAAACTAGCGCCATTTACCGCATCCGTGCGCTAACTGTCATTGCGTTTATATTGGGCACACGGATCGACGACCCGGGACTCGCATTAACGAACGCAAGCTGGCTATCCGGCGACGTGACCGTTTATCTCTCATGTTTGATTGTGGCCACTGTTTCAGTTGGGGCGGTATTGAAGTGATCGCCACTGATAACCCTAAACAGGCATGGGAATTCCTCGAAGCCTGGTACTCCAATGCGGACATCATCAATCCCCATGCTGACCTAGATGTTCACTACGAGGGTCTCCGATCACAGTTGACTAACTGGCGTCTACCTTAATAACAACTATTAATGCATGCCCGGATCTCGCCGACACGCCATTCCCTCCGCCTCCCATCCCCCACCACAGTGAACCACGATCTCCAGCAACCATCACAACACGATGTACTCCCCTTGCAAAGTCACCTGCTATTTCTCTGTCTGCGTCCTCAAACACAAGTGCGACAACCCCACCACTCACTTCTTATTTCGTCTGATGATGGGTTGATGTAGCCAACTTGAAAATTTAAAAGTAAAACTCTATTCTCCGACGAGCTGTCTCCTTTTAGTATATCACTTCGGACTGCATACTACTTCAGTTATATATATATGCATATAGGAAAAAAGACAATAGGTTCTTCGGAAAAGTCGAGTTGTACTCGTAAATTTTCCAGCTGGTGACAAACCCGTCGTCAGACGAAATGAAGACACAAAGGAAGGTTGAATTGTTACACTAGACCAGTTGGCGCGACAGGACAGACGGACCATTGGCGTGTGAGGTGCTGGTCATGAAGTCATGGTGGGTTTCTGGGTAAGGTGAGATGAGAAGGAAGAGGAGAGGAGGCGGAACAGCTATGGCACCCTGTGCTGGAGGAGAAGGAGGATGGTGGATCAGTGAAACTCCTGGCGGCTGTCTTAGCGGTTGTTGATGTGCGATTAGGGCGAGGGCACTTCAGGAGAAATGTCAGGAGATGCGCACCCACCTGTACTCTATCTTCGTGGACCTGACGAAAGCCTTCGACACGGTGAATAGTGAAGGACTGTGGAAGATCATGCAGAAATTCGGCTGTCCGGAGCGATTCACTCAGATGGTTCGTCAGCTGCACGACGGTATGATGGTGCGAGTCACGGACAACGGAGCTGTCTCAGAGGCATTCGCAGTGACCAACGGAGTGAAGCAGGGCTGTGTGCTGGCGCCTACCCTCTTCAGTCTCATGTTCTCTGCCATGCTGATGGACGCCTACCGCGACGAACGCCCTGGAATCCGCATCGCCTACAGAACGGACGGTCACCTTCTGAATCAACGGCGGATGCACTTCCAATCACGCGTCTCCACAACCACCGTACACGAACTTCTCTTCGCCGACGACTGCGCCCTGAACACCACCTCGGTAGAGGAGATGCAACGGAGCATGGATCTCGACTCTGCCGCCCGCGAGAACTTCGGTCTGGTCATCAACACGCAGAAGACAGTGGTCATGCATCAACCGCCACCCAATACAGCCACTGCTCCCAACGCGCCGCAAATCAGCGTGAACAGAACCCAACTGCAAGTGGTGGAGAACTTCCCGTACTTGGGCAGCACCCTCTCCCTTAACGCCAAAATCGATGACGAAGTCGCTCGCAGGATCTCGAAAGCCAGTCAAGCCTTCGGCCGCCTCCAAAGCACAGTCTGGAATCGTCACGGTCTCAAACTAAGCACGAAGCTGAAGATGTACAAGGCCGTCATCCTGCCGACGCTGCTGTACGGAGCGGAGACTTGGACAGTATACACAAACCAGGCACGTCGACTTAACCACTTTCACCTTAGCTGTCTCCGTCGCATCCTGAAGCTGAACTGGCATGATCGAATCTCCGACACTGATGTACTGGAACGGACGGGAATCCTCAGCATCTACACCATGCAGAGACAAATGCAGCTGCGTTGGAGCGGCCACCTGGTGCGCATGGATGACGAACGACTACCCAAACGACTCTTCTACGGAGACGTCGCGACGGGCTCTCGCCGCCAAGGAGTCCAAATTCGTCGATACAAGGCTACTCTGAAGTCCTCCCTGAAGCATCTGCAAATTAACCCGACCAACTGGGAAGAGCTCTCCCTCGACCGACCGACCGACCTGGAGGAGGAAAGTGAAGACAGGCGCTGCGATCTATGAGGCCAACCGAATCGCCGCTGCCAAAATGAAACGCGACGCACGCAAATTACAGCCACGCCCCGTCCGCAACGCCGACGCACAACCGCTTCCAACGTGTCCTCGGTGTCAACGGACATTCCCGGCACGAACTGGACTCATTGGACACCTTCGGACCAACTGCACCTCCCTTACCGCACCAACCGCCGTCCCTTCACCCGCCTATTCCTCGTCCTCTCCGCCGCCAACTAACTCTGACAATTCTTCTGAACCACCACTTCCGTCCTCCCCCTCTTCCTCTTCCTCCTCCTTCTCCTCCTCCTCCTCCTCCTCCTCCTCCTCCTCTTCTTCTTCTTCTTCTTCCTCCCCCTCCTCCTCTTCCCCCGCCTCTTCCTCCTCCTCCTGCCCTACTGCACCAACCACGGCCGCTCTGGTGGTCGTCACTCACACCAGCATCACACACATCCATGACACAACAACAGACACCATCCCTCCAACCTCCGACTCTAGGAGTGAGGACCAGGACTACACCTGACCTCACTGAGATTGTACCTTCACCTCACATATAGGCCTGGTCAGTCACTTGCGAATCCATCGCACAGAGAATGGCGAACCAGTGCCTGGAGCACCAACCTACACCCACCGCACTCGCCTCCGCTGCCCACACTGCCCTCGCACCTTCACGCACCGCGTGGGCCTATTCGGCCACATGCGCATCCACGAGAGCGGAATTGGCCGCCCTCCCGACTCACCCACCACGCCAAACCCCATCCCCACTTCATCACCCATCATCAATTCATCACCCATCACCGTCATCGCAACTGACATCGACACCACCGACTTCACCTGCCCACACTGTCCACGCGCATTCACCTCTCGCCTCGGCCTGGTCGGTCACTTGCGAATTCATCGCATGTCGCTTTGTGGGCAACTTGAATACCCAAGCGATTTAACTGCCGAGTGAGGTTCTCTGCAGAGGTTCTCTGCATATATGGCAGGGAGTAGAATTTTCGTGTTACGATATCTCTGTTTGGGGTTGGGTCCTGTGGCTGTGCCGGGTGCCTGAGGCAGTTCTTTACAAAACTAATCGGATATCCGTTATATTGAAATAACCGATACAGGCAAGCAAGCTCTTTCCTGAGGAGATCGCTGCAGTTGCAATAACGGTAGGCCCAGTGGAACCGAGTTCAGACGCAGCTCCTTGATAAGCTGCAGAGTGGTTGCTCCCATAGCTGGGGATAATCTCGGAATTAGATTCTTTTCTATGGACGCTTCTTGCGAGGCTACCATCGCTCAACTTTTGTATCCTCGCGTCCAGAAACGGCAAACTGTCTCTAATGGCCTCTTTGCGGATAAACCGTATGGCTGGGAAGACTTCATACAGTCTTTGATGCAGCCGCCCGACTTTGCAGTTCTTTATTACGACAAAGGTGTCATCTACGTAGCGGAGCCACCTTTTGGCTTGATAGTTTGAAAGGCATCCTCTCCTAGTCACTACAACACTATTTCAGCGAGCAGCCCTAATATTGGCGAGCACGAGCACCAGTTGGCTGTGAGACGGAAGGATAAGCTCCCCTTGGCATCCGCCAACGTCTCCCCGCTTAGGCACGGTTTCGACTTTCAGCGAGTGAGAATATTGGGCCGGTCGGACGACCTACTTGCTCGCTTGCTGCAGGAAGCGTGGCAGTCAACCGAGGACTCGATCAATCGACATATCGATCTGCCAATCGCTTATCAAGCACTGCGTGAACAAATCAGCAGCGCAGCTAGAGGCCATCCCCGGCAGAGGTGAGCTAAATATGCGATGAGTTGTACAGTTTTTTCCTTCCTTGCCTATGGGTTCACGTGAGAGTTTGAAATTTCGGATAAATAAACAGTTGGTTCCAGCGATAGCCTTCCCGTCTTTTTCTACATATACATATATATCAAGTTAATAATTTCAAAAATTATTAAATGCGGGACATGGATTGACCCTGAAAAGTCGAGTCGAGGACAATCAGCTTGTGGAATAACCACGCAGTGCCCATTCTACAAACGGGTGCTACTACAATTAGTATGAATTTTATATGGAAAAGGTGTTATACCGTACTCCCGGCATAGGTACTATGTCCATGAACGATCTATGAACTCGCCTCCCCCTATTCATTTCTTCCTAAAATCCTCAACACGACATATATCTGCAGAAGGAGGAATAGAGACAAAGACCAGAAAGACTGCTAGCCGCCGTCCGTCAGAAATGGTTATCCCACACTCCCTTGTTTTTGTCGATACTTCTCCCGCTTGACAGTCTTCAAGGGCTCTATATTATTATTATTACGCCGCTTGACAGTCTGCAGAGGCTCCAAAGCACAACAGGCCGACCATGTCCCGTAGTTTGATTAAATTTGATTAGCAAGACAGCAGTTACCTGTTTTCGCGACATATGCTTCGTGTAGATTGGAGGCGACTTGAGCCTCAAGGGAGGAAGGTGTTCCTTTGGTTCATCACACAGTTCCAGGGTGAAGGATTCCCTAAAACAGTTTGAGAAAACTCTTCCGTAGGTACTATCGCATGTAGAGAAAAACAAAGCATTGCTTGGTGGCTTGCTTGTCCCTGGATATACAGGTTTACCAGCTAGCTGGAGCAAGGCCACTACTTCCGGCTCCCTCAGCCTGAAATTGGGATATCAGGCTGACAGACAGCGCCGAATAATTCATGCGGGAGTATTTTGGTCGCTGGGGGGTTTGTGCTTAATACTGCTTTAGCACTGAACGCACGTTGCTAGGCGACCATCTGCCAGGATTATAGGTCCATGCGCTCCGTAGCAAGGTTGAAAGTCAAAATTCTGTCTCGCACTTAAACCGTATATATATATATATATATATGACTAAACGTGAAACTTGACAGTCAAACTAGCCCTGTATAAAATATCAGCCCTCATAGGTTGTGGTTGGTTACTGACGACAAATAAGTCAGAAATGGCCCTTCCATCCTCGATGGGAATAAGTAGTAAGTTTTAAAAAAAGTAAAGGAAAGCCTTGAAAGCCTTTAGTGGTGGCTGACTTGCGAGGGATAGTTGGTTTGGTCTTATAAAAGCGATCAGTATACAATTGAAACTAGGATACAACCCCCCACACTCTGGGTTGACTGAGAGGATTGGGTTAGCTCATTAGTTAACAACCTTACAAGCCACAGCTTTCAACGTCCCGTGATAGATTCAAGCGCATCAGAGTGTATATAACGAGGAATATGCGATGAGACCGTCGACGTCACGTTCCCTCTCTCTCTCTCTCTCCTCTCAGTCCCAGGTCCCAGCCACCTTCCGAACCTGTCTGTTGCGGGAATGGGTGCAGTGGATGACATAGCTAGTGACGTCGTCTACGCGTGCCACGTATGTGACCTGCTCCCCCCCAGAAACAAGCACCAGAATTTCTTACGAAAGTGGGAAATGTCCAAGCTGCCCTGTTAAAGACGGGCTATTAGGAGATCAGGACGCGAACTTGTAATCTTCCCGCGTGAGTGACCCATTGGCTTGACTTTATCAGTGGACCATGTGGGCTGAGTGTCAGCGCACATTAATCACGCCGCATCCTGCCGTAGGTAGATAGATAGATAGATAGATAGATAGATAGGTGTTGATGGGAAACACGAATGAGCCAGAAATAACTGCGTTCTCAGTTTACCCCATAAGCTAGCTGCGTTATCTCTGATAATGCTTTTTAGATGTCTTTCGGCCCGGTGATGGAGGGGGGGGGGGGGTTAGTTCGCTTTCACTCTCACCAAAGGGCGGCAGGCATGCAGTTGCAAACATGCATATTATTATGCACCAGGACACTTTTTCGTTTACATCTGCCGCAGCCGCTCCGGTGTCCCCTTTTCTGGCGACAAACGTGCTTAACCTGCAGGCCACCACGGGCTTGATCTGAAGTGTCTCTTTTCTGGCCGCGTTAAGTCACATCTGCACCCATAGACTGGCGTCATCTCAAGCGCGTTGGCCGGCCTCAGTTGTCACTCGTGGGCCCTCGGGATCATGCGCACCCGACTCAGCCCTTGGACCAACCAATCACATGTTCATCATTCGTCTAGTCACTTCCGCATTCTGGTGCAGACTCACGTAAGCAACACGACAGTTCGATCGTCGCATCCGACGATGTCCACTGTGTGCTCCACAGCACAGTGAGAGCAGACACGGTGACTTACGCGTGAATTAGTTTATAGTGATAACAGACTTGCACAGTATCTACCGCACCCTCTCCTTCTCCCCCACCTGAGCCCGGTGTCAAGACAAAGTCAGGAAGACCGGAAGTGACGAAGGACGTAGGTGGATGGCGCGGTCGGACCCGCACCTTGGCGTTCCACTCCACACCGCCTGGTCAACATAGCAAACACCTGACCAGGATTTTAAACCAAAAACAACAATGGGCGGGAGGGCGGCAGGAATCCCAATGTGCGCGACGTCAGCCGGCCATCGGAGGGACGAAGGTAGACTCAGTTGCCCTGGGTATTCAATAAATCAGTTCTCGCAGCTCGTTGACTTCCGGCGTTAAATTGGCAGAAATTAATGTGTGTGGTTAGAGTTGATCTAATGCCCCTGACAGCCACTAATGTACTACTGATACTACACTTGTAGAAGAAAGGATTAGTTATTTATTTATGGATTTAGCAAGACATGTTAGTAAACTGGTTCTCCAAAACATAAACTGCTCTTTGTCTGTTGAATCAGGCGAGGACCTGCAAGACATCTGGACAAAGATTCCCTTCAAAGGGTAAAATATGTGCAGCTGGTGAGTTAGTTGGAAATTACACCCTTTCGAATTCATGGTAAAGTTTGCACAAACTTCGCGTCTGTAAGAGAAAAAGCAGTTCCAGTGGTGGTTCGGTGAATTAACTCCTAACACGGTAACTCCTAACAAACAGGGAGGCCTCACTAACAGAAAGATTTCAAGCAGTCTATAGAATACTCCCAATTCTTGTTGTACCTGATCACGAGACTGACAATGCTACATGTTCTTAAGGCTTAGTATTTCTGGGTTCACTCTTGGTAGCACTGTAACGAGAACTGCGACGGGTTATTAAGTTACACCTTTTTGGCTGGGACCGGAAACCGATTGGTGTGCTCCGATTTACGCCCATCCCCCCAAACGGACCATGTGGTAGATGCGCTAGACCAACACGGGGGCCATAGCGCATTCTGGCGGCTGTTATCGGATTGCACACCTTAACAAATGCCGAAATTTCGAGGTGCGGTGGCAGACCTGGTTGCCGACAGACGTCGTGCACACCGGGACTCCTGACGCCCACCTCCATTGTTGTTGTTGGTCAAAAACCTGGTTATTTGCTGTGTGGACCAGGGGGTTGTGAAAGGAGAGCAAGAGTGCGGGCACGACCGTGCCATCCACCCGCGCCTCCCCCGCCCCCGGTCTTCTTGACTTTGTCTTGACACGGGATCCAAGTGGGATAGGAGGGAAGAGTGTGGTAGATGCTGTGCAAGTCTGAATTGACTGTAAACTAATACGCACACAAGTCATCATCCCTCCTACACCTTGTTGTGAAGCATACGGTTAACATCGTCGACAACGACGGTCGAAGTGTCGTGTTCCGATACAGTCAAGGAAGACTGGGACGTCCGATTCTGGTTTGTTAGTCGTCATCAGCTTGCCCTACCTGACCTCAGGTTTGGGAACCTGAGGTCCGGACAGGCGTTCTTTGGTCATAGAACGTCAGTAAGTTAGGCGCTCTAACCATCGGGCCATGGGCTCGCTGTCCTGTCGGTTGTGATTGGGAATATTAACCATCGTAGGAGGGCCCAACCGATCAGGTTATAGGATATGTTCGTCCGGTAGTGTCTTGGGAGGGGAGGGGGACTCAATCTAGAGTTCTCGCGGACAGTTCTACAGTGATTATTAGTATATTTAGATAAGGCCTTATCGGCAAAGTTGGGGCAAACCTGGAAGGCCATTTCTGGCTTATTAGCCGCAAAATTGGTGCTAGGTAAGGCTAGTTGACGAATTTTTATAAGGCAGTAATGGACATCACCTCTGCTTATCTGCATGTTCAGGTAATCGCTGTGCTCTTTTCTATTAGGGCTTTCAAGTGGATGACGATGGCCCGTGCGGTCTCTCGACATCTCAAGCGCCGGCGGAGTAAAACTATACGTTTAAATGACGTCAAATTTATTCGTAAGTTGGGTCTAAGGCCGTTAGCTTAAAGTGAGGGAAGGCTGTGTGTGTGTCGGCCGACGCGAACCCGTGCCCACAGAACCTTTGGCAGGCTGTGTGGACGCCTGCGATTGGCTGACCCCTGCTAATGCTTACCTGAGGTATCCGTCTGAGGCCACGCTCAAAATGACCCATATGTCTGATCGGTGTGTATGCCGGGCGCGGTAGAATGGAATGACAGCATAAGTATCGCTTTCGGTTAGCATGTTAACCTGTCTGTCCCCGAAACTGCCATTGAGTAGTCACATACTGCCCCCAAACGGACCACGTGGTCGATGTGCTGGACAAACACGACGGCCATATTGAAATCCGTTAGGCGTTATCGGATTGCGCACCATAACAAATGTCAACATTTGTGAGTGCCGCGGCGGACCCAGTTTCCGGCGTACGTCGCGCCCACTGGGACCTTGCCGTGTTGTTGTTGATTAAAAACCTGGTCATTTGCTGCGTGGCCCAGGGGGTATGGGGTGGAACGCCAAGGTGCGGACTCCACCATGCCATCTGCCTGCACCCCCCCCCCCAGTCCCCGGTCTTCTAGACTCTGTTTTGACACGGAGCCCAGGTGGGGAGGAGGAGGCAGTGCGGTAGATGCAGTGCAAGTCCACTATCACTACAAACTAAATTTTCCCACAAGTCGCCGTACCTGCTCTTACTCTACTATGAGGCACACGGTGGACATCGTCGAAACCGGCGCTCGAGCTATCAAACTATCGAGTAATCATAGTCATACAAACTCGAAAATTTCGTACACGCTTTTTGTTGCCGCACAGGCAGAGCGCATCTGTTTGCTTGGCCTGAAGACAAAGTGCATAAACATGGAGACCAAATAGCGAAAATAAATCCTCGACAGTACGCCAGACAGTCTGTGCTCCCAAAAACGTAGAACATCTTATACTGTCGAAAACCATGGCGGATGAGAAGCCCGTACAGCCGTCTGGTATGTCGACAGTGATAAGACACATATCCTTTCAGCTGTTTAACTAGGCATTCATTTCGTCTAGCCCACCCCAGCAGATGATACAATGTTACTGGCTGTGCGACATTTATCACCCAACAAAAAGACGCCGTTAATATGGGGAATGGGGTATTCAACCCTTGAAAAGCTTAAGGCCAGCACACACGTTTTTGGTCGAAATGTAAAATCATGTAAACTGTGAGGAATAGTCAGTCCTTACCTTTTGCCTCCTGGGTTGTTAACCCTTGAGATCCCAGGAATGCCTTCATGTCCTGTACTGAAGATGTTCTTGAACCTTGAAATGGGAGTAAACTTCGGTTCCGCGGTTAGCGACTTATTCATCGTCTTTAATGTAGCAGTGGGTAGCCTACCTGAGGAATAGATTTTGACCAAGTGTATGACCGAATATTCATTGGACAAAAAGTCGTAAACGTCTACCCAAATCCCGTGTATGATATATGTATATATATCAAATATATATGATATACGATATATGTATATACATTGAGTAAAAGAAACACGTGCATTTCTGAGAGGTTTATGCACTGAAGATCTACCGGATGTATGCAGCCTCAGATCAGTCTTCTTGAACTCAAATAAGAAATCGTTTTTTACGAGATTAACGATGGCAAAGGCTTTTGAAGAAGTACAGCAGGAGGCAAAGGCACGGACGCCTCAGCAGACTCGGCAGACTTTTCCGGTTTCGTGTGTCAATATACCCACCGTCCTTAACATTTGACGGTAAGGAAGCAGACGCAGGAGAATAAGCATAGAGGCCTTTCCGCATTCTTGACGGTGGTGGCATGACTGGAGGATTCGCAGTTATTGCTGACTTGTAAATTACGCGAGACATGGGATATTTGCATGCGAAATAAAGAATCTTCTCAGATTATAAGGACTTCAAAAACTTACTTTTATGCTAGCATGTTGGCAACTGATAATTGTCAGAATGGTCATTATTCGTCCTCAGAAAAAGTTCGCAGGAAACCGGGTTTAGAGTGTATAATGTTAGAAATCATGATCCTAGATGTCGACGTATAAAACTCAGCTTCAAACACCGGCCGGGATAATTTTCAGACTAAGTAGTTACTTAAAGTTTGTTAGTAGAAACAATTGTTTGGGGTCGTGTCAAAAATTGAAACCAGAGAACGGACTTGTATCTGGTTTGCCGCCGTCCGAGTCGATGATCAGACGCGGCAAAGTAGGTGCTGCGGCCAGGGCCATGGCGCGCTCGGGAGTCAACTGCCATCGCAGCTCCGCTCTGTGCCAGATCTTCTTCTTGAGGGCTTTGCACTCCGACTCTTCACTCGCACCTGGACTCCCACTCTCACAGTCAGTTTGTTCGGCCGAATCCAGCTCACTGTTCCGAGGGACTTCGTTTTCAATGCAGGATGAACACATTATTAGATGGTTTTTCAACCTGGAGGTCAGTTGAGCTTTGTTGTGGGTTTTGGCCTTTGCCTTCTGACGAAGATAACGCATGATGCAGATGTTTAGGACTGTCAGATTTCCAATGCAGACTTGATTTGGATCAGCTCCAAAGTCCAGCAATACCTTTACCAAATCCACGTTCAGCGACAACTACGAGAGGAAAAAGTGGAGCAAGTAGGCCACTAATCTCATCCGTATTACATAGAAACTTTCCAGGCAGTTCAAAAGGTCTCCCGCAGGACACGGTTATTGTCTGGATGGTTTATCTTATGTTTCTCATAAAGGATTTTAAAATCTTACAAAATGCGGTATGAATTACACTAAATTTGCGTTAAGAGGATGTATTTATTAGCATCAAGCCTAAAACGTTTCGCTTATATTTGAAGAACTATGAAATTTGACGCATATAGTCCTTAAAAATATGATAACGCACAAAGCCTTTCTGGCATAGCAACCCACGTCCGGTAGACGCTTTACGGTATCGGTGATCAGCTGAATAAAAAGCATGCAAGGGATTTAAGTCAAAAACCCAAAGTGCTCTGCAGCCACATTCAATAAGATTTTAGGGGACATATTTATTTTAGAATCATTCAGTCCGGATTGTTCGAAACAGCCAGGCATATGACTTGTACAGGACGAAAGTAAGCCTAACGGGCAACGCTCTAATCACATACTGTCTCGGAATTCCTACCCCTAAGAAACTGAATTCATCAGTCTCACCTGATTTATTCTACCATAAAAGTATTTCTTAATCATAATTAAACGCATGCTTTGTTGAGAGATTAAGCATGAATGGCATCGAGAAGAGGATTTACGTAGAAAATAATACGATTCATTAGACTACCGCAAAGTCGAGTAAATTCCTCTTCCTCCAGTTTATTTCACGCCACAGATCAATCGTGATGTTAAATGTAACTCAAGGAAAAAAAGTTGCTTTAATACATATCAAACATTTCAATCCGAAATGCTTTTATACTCGGTGAAGGCCTCCGCAATAGGTAGTTTAACCGTTTGGCCATCGAGAACTATGCTGTGTGCCCCACTGGAGAAGGGGTGTAGGGACGGTGGCTTGTGCAGCATTCGCCAAACTCCCTCCTCCCTCACTTACATAAGCCCGCTGTCGAGATCAGAGGCAGGATCGGTCTGGGACATTTGTAGACTAAATAGTTACTTAAACTTTGTTAGTAGAAACAACTTTCTGTTATAACCACAAACACAGCGGCGCGACGAACCCGTTTTGCATAGGGAAGGGGGCAGGCAGCTCGGATTGCAACCAAGTGGGAGGGATGGCAGGTAGTAGCATGTAAAACAACACCGGCTGCTATGGATGCATAGATACTGGGAGGAGGGGTGTACTACTGCCTATTAGCCCCCAATCTCTCACAGTCTCTTCATCACCAAGAATATAAAAGGATGCTCAGACAGCCTTACAGCAGCAATGAGGAGGGCCGTGCGATCCTGAGCGTCTGCCACGTTCACGTCCACCTGGATGGAGCGAGTGCTCTCTAGCTCACTTTGCGAGGAAAGACTGCGCGAGAGAAGGCTCCTGACGACAGGATTGTTGCTTGATTGGCACAACTTCAAGAACTGGAGGGCAGCCCGGGAGTGCGGACCAAGAGGATGGAGGAGGGCAGTGGCCTCTTCAGTCGACGGCAGACCACGTTGTTTGGCAAGGTCGCGCACGAAGGCACTTAATCGGGGGTCCGTGCGTAGGTCGTCTTCTCTCACAGGCCTAGAACGGAAAGGCAGGATCTTGGAAGAAAAGAGGCTGGAAAACTTTGTCAACCCCACTTCGGACGTCTATACTCACTCCAGCGGCCATCTGCTTTGGCATGATTCCCATTCCTTGGAGGACTTGATAAGACGCACGAAGGCCTTGTAGGCAGTGTCGCGCTCAAATTCGATGCTCGCGGACTCCCATACGTGGACCGGTTTCCGGGCGGATAAATTCTTCAGTAAATCAGACAAAGAGTTAATTGCCAGGACTCAAGTGGGAGGGAAAAATGCATCCAAAGTAATGTGCTGTCCACGGAATCTTACCCCTACCTTTCAGGCGAATTTTATTCTAAAGGCTCGGTTTCTAAGTCTTACAAATATTTCGGAATTCCCCTAAAAATCCCACACAATGAGGAAATATCCAGAAGTCTTTGGACAACATTCTCTGTTCAGAGTACGTTTTTGTATTTATACACGCCGAAATAGCTGTAATTAAGGCTTACAGCGGTAGGTGACGTGAGATGGGACCTACCGTCTAAGCTTGCCACACACATGCTGTTTCGCGAATTCACAAAAACCACTCTCAATTAAAATGTACAGCTCACGAGCGGAGGATACACGTGTTCACGCTCGACCGTTAGCCGTCGTTTACAAATTGAATTGTACGACCCTTGCAGGAGTGAGGTGTGGTGTGTGTGTGTGTGTGTGTAGAGTGTGCTGTTGTAGAGATCATTATAGGTTATACGTTGTTCGAATGCACTAAAACGACTGTTGACCAGAGCTCCTGGGTAAGAGGTCTCCAGTCACACTGCAAAAGACTCACAGGTGACTGACCAGGCTGATACATAATTCGAATATTCAGTGGCGATTTTGACATGTTCGTACTTTGTCACCGCTTTTGGTGGTTTTCCTGTGCGTCCTGACAGCATTCCCCTTACAGTGGATACAAAGATGTCCGACCGTGGCGAGTCGAGACTTGGGACATGGTCTGCAATATTCAACCTTGACTGGGACGTTTCGTAGACTAAATTGTTACTTAAACTTTGCTAGTAAAAACATTTTTTTACGAAAACCACAGCCGCAAGGGGGACGATAAGGGCCAAAAGCGAAATGGTTAAATGGCAGGTAGGGGGTGTCTACAGCTATAATACTGTAGTCTTGTTTTATATAGAGAGTATTCTGGTTACGTTGGCGTTCGGTTGATTCAAAGGACCCAGCGTGGCTAGTCCGTGCGCTGGACGTCAGTCCACAGTACACACATGTTGCCAGGGGAGTGGGGAGTTAGCATCGTTGGTTCGCAATTTTATCATCTTAAGGGCTTGGCGTTTCACCCTAGTCATCTGTATTGGTTGCCCCGAAGCACTTATGTCACGACTGGCTTTAGCAGAGCGTACTCATTAATTCAGAAAAGTTCATTCTTAGTCTGAAAAAGACATGCATACGGAGGATATCTCCGCAAATGATGCCGAATCTACATCGTTACAACGATGGAGCCTGCAACTACGTTGGGGAAACCAGACGAAAACTGCAGACCCGCCTACATGAGCACAAACTGGCAACTTGGAGATCTGACCCAAACTCACAGCTTGCGACTCACATCTGAGAAACTGGCCACAGTTTTGAATTTCAAGGAGCAAGTGTCTTAGGCCAGGGCACCTCAAGGACAGAACGTCTTACACTTGAGGCTTGGTTCTTAGATGTCAACTCCATCAACAGGCACCTAGACCTTCTGCGGCCTACAAAGCCCTAAGTCATTACATGCGCCATGATCAGGACCAGACGTTCACACAGAGCCTAAAAATGCAGCGCAAACGCGACCTGTCGACTAATTCATCCAAAAGGAGGACGCAAACGCAACTAACTCCGATTGGAGTGACGACACACAACACAGGAGGCCACCAACACTCGAAAATGACAGCCAGTAGGCCAAGGCGGCGAAAGAATAAAACAATTGACCAGCCCAAGACCAACTAATTGGATCGTTTATTAATAAATTATGGTCGATTTTTGCACTAAACGATTTCATAATGGAGAGCCGGTCAAGCTCTCAGAAACGTTAGCAGTGCGATTCGCTTGATCTGGTGGGGACTTCCTTTTTCTCACATTTGATTAGGACTGATGAGTCCAGCAGATCTATTTCAAAGTCGGATGAACAATATGTCGTCCCTGAGGTAAGCTAATATTGACTATACCTGGTCATGAATTGAAGAAAAAAAGTGCCATGGTTTCGCCTTCTTTAAAGCAAATCATTTTACCCAGAACACGTAAGTGTTAGAGAACATCACAGAATAATGCTAATATTAAGCCAGACAAATAGTTGAGAGCAAATTGGAAGAAGTGTTAATAGTAGTCTGATTAGAAGAACAAACCGTAATTATTTCCATACTCATGGAAGCGGCCACCTCTTCCACAGAATCTGATGGCTGACGCTCACTAACTAAGCTGCCGCTTCGGGAATTACTCCAAGTATCCGCATACCACATGTAATCGGGAAACTCCGTTAGCGGATTAACAGCCTCGGGCAGTTCGACAGAGAGTTTAACTAGACGATTATGCCTCCACTGACCGACGTCCGTACAAAGGGATTCTGACGACTGCTCATTGTAGATCTGGATTCCAGAGCCACAACGTTCATCGTCGACGTAGAAGCCCTAAAGTGGGTGGAGGAGAGAAAGGGCCCGCTGCTTAAAGTAAATCATCATCAAATGTCACGATACGATGAAATGTTACGGACGGCAAGCAACACTGAGCTCAGATTGGAGAGAAAAGTACTAGCGTTTCAAGCTCAGAGGGAAATGACATAGCCCGTCTCATCTTCTAATTCCCGTTACGTTTTTATGGTGAGATGCCGGAAGTCAGTAACAAGAGCCCCAGCAACACGAGTTTCACCAGGTGAATAATTTCGGAAATTAATCAATGCAGAACTTGGAGTTAAATCTCCGGGACATGACTTTTTAGGGTCAGAACCGAAATTTCAATGAACATTTGAGTCGAAGACAATCAACTACTGTGGAATAACCACGTAATGCCCATTCTACAAACAAGTAGTAGTAGTATGTAGAATGGGCATTACGTGGTTATTCCACAGTAGTTGATTGTCTTCGACTCAAATGTTCATTGAAATTTCGGTTCTGACCCTAAAAAGTCATGTCCCGGAGATTTAACTCCAAGTTCTGCATTGATTAATTTCCGAAATTATTCACCTGATTATTCTCTGGAGTTCATATACCAGAAACCGCTAGAGAACGCTGGGGGTCCCACTGAAGAGCCGAACCCCTCGCAGCTGTGTCACGCAGCGGCAGAATATCGGCGAAACACGTGTCTGGGCTTTTAGCAAGTATCTAGGTCGGGAGTACGGTATAATACCTTTACCATATGAAATTCATACTACTCGTAGTACTACTTGTTTGTAGAATGGGCATTACGTGGTTATTCCACAGTAGTTGATTGTCTTCGACTCAAATGTTCATTGAAATTTCGGTTCTGACCCTAAAAAGTCATGTCCCGGAGATTTAACTCCAAGTTCTACGAGTTTCACCATCAGAGAGCTACGTTGTTATATTACTGCCTGTATTTCAGTAATGTTTGTTTTTTATTATTGTCCCATGTCTGTTGAATGTGAGTGTTGGCATTAAATTCGTCTTCCTCAGAAACTGAGATAGCACCAATTACCCATAGGCAAACTACGGTACAGCACATTTAGTAACGTTAATGTTTTTAACATTTGGAACAAGTCGTTTATCTGTCTGGTTTCGAAAACTTTGCCAATCTGAAGAAACTCTGTAGCTGTTTGATGTTTCCCTCAAATAAACTGAAACTGAAAAAAGATGGGTAAAGTAACTGACTTCTGATGAGCTACTCCGGATTTGCCAACCCTCGATAGCCCGTTGTCAGGGTTCGTGCTCAGCTGACACAGTAGGTCACGTATCTCATGAAATATTAGAAGGGATAACTTGAGTTTGATTACCCAAGCTATCTCAGTCACTCCGGAATGCTGGCTTTTGAGTGTACGTCTTTTTGGCCAACGGGGACGATCGCGCTTGCTAAAAATGAGTACCTAAGTAGCATGTAATTTTTCCAGACGGGTTCTATAAAATATGAGCTAAATTTTTCCTTCCTTGCGTTTGTTTTGTGGCCCACTGCGCCAATCTTAAATTTTTCGCCAAAAGAAACGGTGTCACCCAGTTGTGAAGAGTTTTTAATTCTAAAACAGTGCTAAAATAATCTCTGTCATTAAGCCTTCATTTTGGGTTTCCGAACTGCAGGCTGAACACTTCATTTAAGTGTCATCCAACCTTCTGCTATGCTTATAATAAATATGAGACAAAGTTAACTAACTTTTATCCTAAATATGGACCACGTATGCTTCATACGGAACAGTAATGAACGGACAGATGCGATGTTGTTTAAATAGGCACTTTCTGGACATAAAAATCTCATAAGTGGACATTTTCAAAACTCAAACGTTACCGTTTCTGGTATATAATGAGCACAAGAACTTATATTTTTCCACATGTTTTCTATGAAACATGTCTAGATATATACGGAAATCGGAACTCAATGAAATATTATCAAACTCCATAAGCAGTCATTTTTAGCGAGTGTGATTTTTATTGACGACCGGATAAATGCGCATTTAAAGGTCGACACCCTGGGTTGTCTGAACTATCTAACCCAGATCACATTTCAGAATTTCAGTCAATGTTTCATGAGATAGGTCTCCCAAAGCCGTACCAAAATTCAAGACCGTTAGACATAAGCTTAGAATCTTTGACTAAGTGATCAAAGAGACTTGCCTTCCACCAATGGGGTAATGAGCACTCGATCTGACGGCTGCCGGAATGAGTTCCTCCATGAGGACCCATTTTTGGAGTAAAAGTTAGACTTCCGGTACGTCATCACAGCATAAGACTCTGCCTGGCCTAATTGTTCCCATGCCATGCACAATGATCGGACCTTCATAGTTTGGAGTTTCTACCAACCGTAATTGCCTATTGTTTGACGCGAAAACTACTTATTGAGGAGATTTTGATTATAACTAAAACAGAATGCCAAAACTGTTTTCATTGACTTCTTGCAGGGATTTAGTTAAGAGACCAAATGATCGCAGTTTCAACTACTTTTCCTCAGGTTGTTTGACGTCAACTTCAGCCTCCTACTCCGCTAACTGCGTAGCTGACGAAAATTCAACAATGATGCGGTTCACCTAGAGGGATTGAGAAGGTTTATGTTTCTGAAGTGATATACACGGAAATGTATTCGTGCCAAAAATAATCCTAGTAGTGAAACAATTTAATTTACTGAGTAAGGAAAAATTGGAAATTGTTTCTTGAGCTTAATTTAAACATGCCGTAAATCCTTTGTGGAATAAACTTGCTCCAACTTCTACTGAGAATGTGGAATAAAAGGGCGTTCGGGCGATGGGAAATCGTCAGTCAGCATTCATTAAGAAGTAAAACGTCTGGTAGCATTAAAACTGCGACCGTCATGCCATACTGGTTCAGGGACACCGTCGCCGTAAGAACACTCAGCTGACTGTTTTGGCGCTACTTGCTCACCGGTTAATCAACGGAAGGGCCTTTACACGCCTCTGGTCAAAGTTAGTTATGTAACCTACTTGGTCCTTCTTACGAGCCAACCGTGTCCTCTAAATTAAGGACTGGTCTCGATAAGGTTCCAAAGCCGCCGATGGCAACCTCAGAGTAGCAAGTTGAACAGTCTAATAGTTATCTCATCAGCTAATCAGCAAATACTCTTGATTGTCTTCAACTTATGTTTAGCCATAACATTTGGAATCTCCTGTGCTGACTGACTCAAACTTCTGTGCTTTTAATATAGCTAGAAAAAAGCACCTTTCACAAAATGCCTACACCCGACGAAAAGGTTTAGCATAACTTTCGAGCTTGTAACTCTGTGAAGAAGATGGCTCAGTCATAAAATCAACAGATACCTTGCTTCCTAAGCAAGCTTTCGCGATAAGGGAATTTTGTTTTGTGTAAAGACTTAGTGTGGCCGCCTGCTTATTGCTCCCAGTTGCCAAGTAGCCCAGCAATTTGTCCTCTTTCACTTTGGTTGTTAAAACTCCGTTTTTGGATCCATGAAAAGGCATTCGTATAACGCGAGCATGAAACGTCTTCACTCTTAGAGACTACGACAGTCCGTCGCATCACCCAATTCGGTCTTTGCAATCATTTTTTCCTATCTAATTTTACTGCCTGTTTCTAGCAAGGTCATTCTGTTTCTTTGACTTTATTTAACGGTCTCCGTATTCGACAGGTGCTGCTACCTCCACCCGAGACCTTTCAAAGGAAAAAAAACCGCTCTCTTCTCGATTCTTCATCCAAAGACAGGTTCCTTCAAATGAATATAAGTGGTAAGGTGTGATTATGTAGCCCGGCCTAATGGACACAATACTGTTGGGGTTTAGGTTAGGGGTCAGGGGTTGGGGTTAGGGTTAGGGCTAGGGCTAGGTGTTAGGCCAACCATTTCTCGACTATTGGAAGTACAACCACGCACTCCCAATAAATTTTGCATACAACGGCTTGACATCTTCGCCTGTGCGTTCCGCGGCCCCAACTGTAAAAACCCCCTGTTACCACCGGTCCCGTATTACAGGTGGCGGGGGTTTGTTAACTTCAGGTGGGGCTACATAACCACATCCGACCAAGTAAAGGTCAACGTAAGTCTTCCGTCTGACCAACTCTTCGGTTGTAAGCTAAGACCTGCCCAGAGGTCAACTAGAGCTGCTTCTATGGTGAATGACTGTCGATAGGACGTTATGTACGAACTTCTGACATGGGACATGTCCCACTGTACTCACGCATTAGGCCAGTCTGTTCCGCGCCGGCAGCCTTGGTCTGTTTAACGGCTGCGCGGGTGAATCGCAAATTCCGATGTCTGTGCTCTTTTGATTTCTGTTGTCATCCAAATTCGGCGCGCCTCTTTCAGGGTTCCCGTATTCAGTTGATATTGATTTTTTTCCTGTTTTTGAGTCGTTACGAGCAGCGAAATCTGATGCGGGGGGTTTAGTAGGCATAAGTATTAATGAAAGGAAAGATCAAAATCACCTGGAACAAAACGCTGTTCGAAAAGCGTGCTATTCCAAAACCGCTTCGTTTGTCCAGGAAAAACGTTCCCACGAAGGCCACCTCCAAACTCTCTAAGTAGCCGAATCCGTGCATTTTGTCCGCGAAGAAAGTGCCGTCGTAAGTCTAAATGAAGAAAAAATGCCTATTTTTTCGCATTTATCAATCGCATCTTAGAAAGCACCTATACTGGACTAAGTTTTTTCAGACGGTGAGGAAGAACTCTGCCGAGAAGGCAAACAAGGGTATGATTTGAACAGTCATCTACCTATCCATCCTCTTTTATGTTGAAATTATTTTCGTAAAAGAGAAAGCTATGGAGACTCCAAGGTTAGAACTATTGAACGGCTTTTGCTCTCGACTCCCTGGTGTATCTACACAGCTCCGATATAAAACAAAAGTGAAATCTTTAGCTATATTTGCAGTAGATGTACTGTCTCTTGAAATGTTAATCCAAGTTCTGAAATGAGTTTTCAATTCGAAAAGATTACCTAAGTATAGTTGTCACGTTAACAGACATGCTGCATAATGTCCTGGTATTTGAGTGGCTTCAGGATGCCGACTTTGGAATGAGCTTCCTATCGACTGCCTGCATAAACCACATTCCTTACAAAGTTACTACTTAATTAATGGGATTTTCTATCGTTGATTTCCGACGCCCTTATGAATTCAAATATATTACGTAGAAAACGTGCATGAAAATGTTCCTTCTTTTTCTTATTCGGTGGCAATTTACATCTTCAAACTTTATAATTCCGATGTTAAAAGTTTCGACTTATGAGATTTTTCAAGACCCTGAAATTTCTAATCATGCAGCATTTCATCAGCACATTTAGTAATGCTACTTATAAAGTCAACGGCGGGGACCACATCTATTACAAAATTTCATAAGCCCTAACTGTCCTCTTCATGGTAGCGTATAAAAATATATGATTGTCCTTACACTAAAAGTATGCAGCTTGTAGTCTGGAGATCCTGAATGCAAGTGTAACGGTAAATCGGGTTCAAAATTAGGGATGGAGAGATACGATGGCTTTTCAACTCTCTGAGCTTAGATCATGGTAGGTAATGGTAAGTTGAGAAGTAATGGCTACGACGGAGGATGGAGGCAATAGATCGCTTCTAATCTCTCTTAGCTACAAGGTAGCTCAACGCCCGGGAACAAACAAAAGCGGAAGTGTGAAGCCGAACGCGAACTTTGTGCGTAGAGCAGTGGCGAATACTCTACAGACTACTTAAACAAGTAAATTAAGTAGTTTTTGTATGCAGCATATGCCTGGGGTCTTTATTTCTACGGTTATGAGAACACTAAAGCGGCTTACAGGAAAGAAATTAATCTCAGGAGTTTTGGCTAAATCCTTAAAACAAAATGAACCCACAACCGCCAAGATATATGAACTTCCTAAAGTTCAGAAAATGAGTATTCCACTACGACCGATAGTCTCCTAGATCGATGCACCAAACTAAAAGATCCCTAAGTGTCCATTTCACCATCTAAATCCCCTTACAAATAAATCCAACAACTCCATTGAAGATCCAAATGAGTTTCGAGACAAATTAAAAAGGAGTGAGCGTTGCAACCGATTGGATAATGGTTTAATCCGATGTAGTCTCCCTCTTCATTGCGATTCCATTAGATTTAGCGAGACGCTGCACCGAAAAACTCCTTCAGGCCAACGCTACTGATGTTCCTGTCGACGGTCTACTCCAAATACTTGATTTTTGTCTAGAAATCAACTTTTCTTTCGTTAAACAAGGTTATCGGCAACTGAAATGTGCTCCTGTGGGTTCGCCTATATCTGGCTCTCTAACAGAAGCCATTATGCAGAAACTGAAATCTATAGCCCCTCCAAAAATTAACCCAAAACTAATGCTGCGCTATGTGGATGACACATTTGCCATTGTCAAGAGAAACCAGTTAGACCGCCTTTCCACGAATCTTGACTTCAAATTTCCAGGAAACAAGTTCACTTTCGAAACAGAGGTTGATAACCTACTCCCATTTCTGGATGTCCTCGTATGCCGAAAAACTAATGGATTCCTTCACACGTCCGCTTATCATAACGAAACATACTCCGAAGTCAATCGACATTTTGAGAATAACCATCCCATCTCTCATAAGAGGAGTACTGTCTATGGCCTGCTAAACCGAGCTAAAACACAGTGTTCTGATTAAGAAAGTTATCAAGCAGAAATGAAATATTTTTTCAAATCATTTTCCCACAATGAGCACCCGCGCGACTTTGTACGTCATTGCATGAAACATGAGTTTAAACAGAAGGGTATTTCGAAAACAGCGGTCACCCAGGCACCAAAAACTTTCACCTGGCGGACCCTCCCATACATAAAAAATGTATCTGAACTCATCGAAAGACAGCTGAAAAAGCACCAGATACAAGTACCACAACAACCTACAACCACCCTGCGTACACAGCTTGTACACCCTGAGGACAGGGTTGGGTATCTTGATAGGGAAGGTGTTGTCTACAAAATACCATGTTCCAGTTGTGATGCCGTTTATTGTAGCCAAACTGGGAAATCTGCCTCTACCCGCATACATGAGCATCAGTTAGCGGTGAGGAGACGAGATCATTTATCCCAGGTAGCTATGCACACATTGGACACTGGACACGAATTTGCATGAGAGAACACCCGCATTGTTGGCGCCTGTCCAATAAGGAAAGGCAGCGAATTCCTGGAAGCAGTGCATTCAGAGGAGGCATGCATCAAACAGCATATCGATTTAGGTGCCATATACAAACTTTCCAAGGAAAAATAGAAGCGGACGCAGCCACTGCCGAGGGGATGACGAAATACCATTGACGCGCACTGGCGCAGACTTCGGCCAACCACGGAGTCATTTATTCGACGTGGCTAAATAGTTAACTGTTTTTGTACATAACCCATAAGTCTGACGATGAGCTGGGGAACCAGACTCGAAAATTTATGCATTAAAGGTTATTCTCTCGCCAACATGAAATATTTTGGGTGTATACTTTTAGTTCCAAATCTGATACCCTTTCTATTCGGCTTCCGTTATTTCTTCTTCTTTTCTTAAGAATTTTACGATTACCTGTGAACCTCCTTTTTGGCAAACTACATTGTGCAATTGCTAGACTGGAGGACTATGGAAACCGTCCCCCAGCTTGCTCCATCGGTCATAATGACAGCTAACGGCCCAGTAAGCAGAATAATGTACTAAATTTGTGAATAATACAGAACTTTCGGAGTTATGAATGGACCTCTAATGACGACGGGGAAGTCCAAGAAAGCCATTCAAGACTAGACAGACGTTGATTCAGATCCGGACAGAGACAAAAAGACACTGTTTACAAAGTGCACTAAGTGCTCAATTCAAACATCGACAGTGCCGGAGCCTTATCCTACCTTGCCAATCTCGGAAGCATTCGTATCAACCATTAGAGGGATGCAGGACTCTGTCCTCACCCTCGTGTTCTCTATCATCTTGGTGGACGCGTACTGCGATGTGCGTCTTAGAATTAAAATTGTCTACAGAACCGACGGCAATCTTCTCAACATTCGATGAATGCAAGCATCCACGCAAAAAACTCACATAATGTTCGTGACCTAACCAGGTTGTGTGTAGAACACACGACCAAGGACCTCGGCAAATACTCCTCACTGAGAACAACCTGATACGCTTCTGAACTATTATGGTGCGCTAAAAGCCGTACTGGGCCTCAGCAACTCGAAGGCGGACAACAGCTGGCCTGGAGAGCGCGCTCGCGACGACTGCCTACAGAACCTTTGTGTAAGCGCTTCTAAAATAGTAGAGGTTGTCCAACTCACTCCGTCTTTCCTGACTTATGACTGGGAATCTTTGTCTTGTCGATCGCACCACATTCGACAGGCTGCCAATTGACTGGGTAACTCGGTCGTTTCAAGGCGAAGAGTCAGGCTACAAATGGCTCTTCCCTAATGTGGTCTCTGTGGCACTCTTACCCTGTCGCGGTCCAAGCCACCATCCCCCATCGCTTCTTATGAAACCCGGCCAATCATGCAGGCGGCCAGGCGAGTGTAGCGCGTGTCACTGCACCGATCCCGCTTTCGCTCTTCCCGGTCCTGTCCTGATACCGAGGGTGAGGGAGGAGATGGTGCAATAGGCACTTTGCAAGCCTACTGCCACTGAAAACCCACGCACACAAAATGTGCCGTCTCTGCACCACGGTGGACATGGTCGTGCGCGAAGCTCAAATCGGCGCGATGCGCATTAATGCCAACATCCTTGCGTATCAAACACACTAACCTTGCGCCAAAAACCTGTATCTAGGATCTGTCTCAGTTTTACTCGGCAATACATGTCGTAACAGATGCAGATACTTCAAGTTGTGGATTGCGTTTGCCATTTAGCTGCATTCCGCTCCACTTTTGGTATTTTTGTGCGAATTGTGTCCTAACCATGTTCATTTTTAATCTTTAAACCTGACAATTTATGAAGGCTAAAAGAAAATCATTATGCTAAATCATATGCTAAGTACTTGTGTTTGTTAACTTCAAAACCAAAGAACTAAAAGCCTTGATGTGGTGGCACTATTTCCAAATACCCAACAGTTTTAAAATAGCCGGCCCCACTACTATCAATGAAGTGGCGAGATAAAGTTGTCCGCAAGTCTCCCACGAGGTTTTCAAAATAATTTAAATATTTGGGACAATTTAGAAAATTTTATGGTGATCATTGAATCAGGTCCTCTTTATTTATGACTTTTGGAATGTCATTTCTCTTATTTGAGGTCTCTTCGGCAATTAAAGTCATATGCTGGCTAGACACTAATTTGTATGCGTTTTTGCAGTCTTACTGGTGACACAGAAACAATCAAAACTCCCCCTTACGGTGTGGCCAAACCAGAACACATCAAACTGATGTTGTGCTTAGCATATTTTTGTTTAGATGATTGGAGAATGCGACTGAAGATTGAAAATGACTGTCGTTAAATGATGCTTTATACTACTTATTTTTTGGTTGCCAGATCAAGAATTGGCAGCACTGAAGTCGAAGTGGAAACTCAGATGTCTATTTCGATAGACAAGAACCGCATAAAAGCATATACTTACCGTCCCGTCAAACCACGTGTACCTGCCATGACCCTGTCGTTGATCATGCGCGTATTGTCCCTCGTAAAAATCGCCATTCAGGTTCCGATGGGCGTTTTCTTCTTTAGCTTTTCGCAGTGCTTCGGCATCTGCAGTGGTTTTTTTAGAGAAAGCGTATTACATTTTTCTTACGACTCAAGTCATCCAGAGTTTGTAGGACGGCCAAGACCTCCGGCGTAGCTATTACCGTCATATTATTTAGTCCAACGTGACTGAAATGTTGAAGAAGAATAGAGGCATATTCAATTACCCGAAGTTTAACACGAAAATGTTATATGCATCATGAAACGCATGTTAAGTCTTTACCACGAAAAAGTCCGCTGTAAACTTAGGTTTTCTGAGGAATTGGCCGATACTTAAAGGGGAATAATAAACCGACTGGCTGACTGGTAAGCAGAAATTATGCAGACTCGCTACCCGAAGTTCCGAAACATAGAAAGCCGAGTTTCGAATGCAACTACCGACATGTATTGATTTTGACTTCCGTATTGTGGTAGAAAGTGAGCTGAACGACAGTGAAATTCAAAATATAACGCTTTTATGTAGAGAAACTTGTCGTTTTTTGAAACCAACACAAACGCAGATAGATACTAAACGTAAAACTCTTCATGTAAAGGATAATGCGGATTGTGGCAAGCAAAAAGCATTCTTCTATTTTGAGAAATAAACGACTTTTGTGGACAAGATTCATACTGACTGTAAGTCCTTTACCTGTATTAGCTAATGAAATGTTGATGCAATCATCTGGCTTGCCATTAACTGCGACACCGTGAACCGCATGCGTTTTGTTTCTTCTGCATGGGGCTTAGCTGAGGCTAATTGAAATAAGCAACGAGATAAATCAACTTCAAGCGGCTCTAGGCTCCTAACAAGATTTTGAAATGAGCTCTCAGCTTACGTGACTGAAGTGAAGACAACGGACCGCTTTAAAGCAGTTCGCCTCGGTTCTCCGTTCAAGCAGGTACGATTACGCCCGACTGGACCAAAATTTTTTCTTATGAAAATCAAATGAAGTAAGGGTAGTTAAGACAGTTCTTTTAACGTCTAATGACGGCCGTATGCAACTGTAATGCCTAGGTGTATCATTGTTATTTTCTTCCTCATTACTTTGAAAAAAATTATATTCGGCGATTGAGGGTGAAGTTCAAAGACATATTGACGTACTTCTTCTTGGTATAACCTAGTAAGTTACAAGTGTAAAAAGGGCACTGAAGTACACAGGAGATACTGTGGGCGGTGAATAATTGTAATTATTATCAAATCTAAATTAAAATCTAAAATTATAGCTTGTCCATATTAGCCCAACCTTTTTTCAGCTAACAAAGGTGTGAGTTGGAAACCGGAACCTATGCGCTACTTCGCTCTCCTTGACGGATGATCCAGAAAAGCATGTAGGATGATGCTGAGCTCGTCAGTTTTCTGTATTAAAAGGCGGTCAGTCTGCGCAAAGTTTA